TCGGGCTGGGTCCCTCCACCCACCCCGTCCCCCAATCAATTAAAGGTAGTGTGCCACCTTTGAAAGATTTCCCGTTTTATTTTTCCTAGGATAAGAAGCTTCTGTTTTTACCTAATATCGCAAAAAAAAAATCAAAAATGGGCCTGGAATAGTGCCTTTTTCGCCTAAAAGTTTATCGGTTTTTAGATATGTATAACAACTGTAGTGGGCTCACCTGCAAACAGGCGTCGGGCAACAATCGCGAATGCGGCGCACTTGTGACAATAAGCAAAGGTCATTATAGTGTTACGACATGGATGTTACGACCATACGACGTACGGGAATGAGTTATCAGCTGTCTAATCGTAGACAACACAATGTCGAGCCTTAAACTGTAAGCCTGTATTGGTATTGTTTCTTAAATTTGGCTGTCGAACATTAATTTGTGGTTTGAAATATGATTTTATGTAAAATAATTGATATGAAACAGCCGTCTCTTAAGTTATGACCCCATTACACCACACGCAAGTGGCAGAAATGACAATGATCAGCTGACGCATTTTTCTTGGCCGAAGTCAGAGCGCGCGGCCCGACGCACCACGCGTATTTGGAAATTCCGACCTCGACGAGCATCAGAAGCCACCTAACAGGCGTGTTCGAAACCGCAGGAGATGATGATGAACGGGTTTATCGAAACTTGATTGGATGAGCCTATCGGTAATAGCGATTTTAGTGTGTGCATTTATTGTTCATAGTGGTGTGAAATGTGGTTGGGGTACGACCGACAACCCGTCGGGGCGAATTTCGCACTGGGGTACTCAAAATTTGAAGAATTTAAGACGTTTCCATAAGTTTTGAAGGTATGGATAAGTTCTAAAAATCCGGTTCTCCTTATCCGGGTCATTAACTCCATATGGTCCAAGAAAGCTGGCACACTACCTTTAAACCCCGTCCGTCCCAACTCCTGCCCGGTCACCGCCCACTCTGCCGGCGCGACCGACCGCAGTGCCGAGCCGCTGCTCCTCCGTCCGCGTCCTACCCCCGGCTGGCGGACCACAGCCTCACGCGGTCAGTGATGTCAGGCTGTCATCCCTCAGTCTTGTACCCAACAGCACTACCTACATCTTTTCCGTCTTGTGCTGTTATCTTATCACTCAGTAGCTCATAGCACTGATTTCAAGTTCCCAGGTCGGTTATCTTCGGTGTGAAGTCTGCTGTTTTTTTCGGCTGCGACGCTGACATGGATCCTTTCTCCCTATTTCCTGCAATTTATTCTGCAGCATACCAACAAGGGCTGCCACTGCCATACGAGTCACCACTACCGTTCCAATAAATAATTTGAAGCTGACTTAACGCTACGCCCGCATTTATACGGCAATAAAGGGTCAAAATTATTCAAGACCACAGAGAAACGCGATATTCATGGTATAAAAACAGTCTGAGTGAAACCCTGACCAGTAATCATTACATGAAGCTCGACATGCTTCATCTAAAACCTCTTATCTGCCACAGTTTTATGCTTAGGTACTTGGAGAGAGGGTGAGGGAGAGAGAGAGAGAGAGAGAGAAGGAGAGAGAGAGAGAGAGAGAGAGAGAGAGAGAGAGAGAGAGAGAGAGAGAGAGAGAGAGAGAGAGAAAGAGAGAGGGGGGAGAGCTATCACACTGGCCGGTGTCAGGCGATAAAATACCGCCCAGTGTTTCTTACATCGGTACGGGCGACTGATTTATTTGTATTGAATACAGCATGGAGCTCAGCAAGGCTTGCAAGAGATCCGATATTTTAATCAAGCCATTATCTATCTGATCTGAATACATGCTGTGAAATATCAATGTTAAATGCTCACCGTCATGGTTAAAATATTGGCACTCGTTCGTAAGACTTAACTGCCGGTAGAGGTTATATGTCGTTTTTTATGCACCGTAAATGGTTACTTATCAGTAATTGCAATTTGATCACATATTTAAACTAAATTTGCCTTAAACTTCCCCAGTAGGCAATACCTAATAGTGATGTCAATTACGGAAAATCGAGATACCGATACCAAACCAAATACCAACAATATCCATGGAAAAATACCGAAACCAAACCGACTTGGGAATATGAGGAAAATACCAACTATACACCAAATCTCAGCCTGTTTTACATAAGTGAGGCAGAGTTCATAATACCAACAAAATACCAAATCCACTGGCCTTGAAATACCAAATACCAAGTTGGTATCGGTTTGGTATCGGTATACCAAAAGGTTGGTATCCGAATGACATCTGTAATACCTAAGTCATCCTAAATATTTCGACCAACAGTCACAAGTGGTGTAAGTTGTAACCATCGCCACCACACCGCACCAACGCCGTGTTACGGCGGCCATGGCCTCCGCGGCTGTCCCCTGTCTGACGTCATTACATAGGTGACGTCACGGTCTGTCGTGTCATTATCGTGGCCCGTACCGCCACCGCTGATACCACGTGGCGGCCGTCCTGCCACATGGTCATTTGGACACATGTGGAAACAATTCCGTAATTTGGAATAACAGGGGCGGGCTGCCAGGCTGACGATCGGGCCTCACGTCACGGGGCTGTGTAAAGTGCTGAGAGGAGAGGGAGTCTGGTGTCGGCCGAGCTGGCTTCTCAGTTATTCGCCTTGTTAAAATTTCCGGCAGTGTGCCTATCAAAACATTGCAGAGCCGACACCCCTTCACACCCGATTGTTGGCGTTTCCGTTTCCAGTTTCAGGCACAGGATGTTGCCTATTTATTGATATGTTCGTACTATCAGTTCGATTGGTTCCGGATGGAGAGACGGTTTGAGTGCACCTACTGAAGATTTGCTGAACAAGGGCCAGGGCGAGTGGTTTCCCAACTGACTGGAATGTGCCCCTTGACGATGGACCTTTTCCAAGCCCGATAACAGTCTCTTATCTGCGCAGTGCGCACATGACGTGTGAGGGCCGAGTGACGCCGTCTGACGGCCCCGCTCCTTGCCGCCCTTCCTACCCACACCGGCGTCCTGCCCACGCACCCTTCCCATTTCCAGCACCGGCCACCCCGCTGACCCGACCCGACCCGACTCTACCCGCCGCGGCCGCCTGCCGACTCAGCGAGTCTCTGCACCCTTGCGACTCACGGTGCACAGACTCAGCGAGTCTCTGCACCGTGAGTCTCTGCCTCACGCCCCGCCATACCCTCTCCCGCCTCCCGCTCGGACCACGCACCGTCGCGCCATTTCTTGCGGCGGCGCGCGGTTTTCCGTCCCGCCGGCGCCCTTCCTGTGCCCGTCCCCCTCTCTTATCGCGATTCGGTATCAGCTGAAACCCGAGACGGGGTGCCCTCGCTGGCCGGCGCAGGGGGGAGACCGGCGGGTCCGGGCGCCGCACAAAAGCGGCAGAGGCCGACGGGCCTGACCTTTGACCGGACGCCGGTCCTTCGGGGGCGCGGGGGAGCCGATGAGAGACACCCGACACGCCCCCGTCCCCTCTCTGGTCACGGCTCGTCTTCGATAAACCCTAATGAGCCGCCAGCAGAGAGCGCGACCGCCCACCCACTGCTAAAAGCCGCTGCCCAAAAGCTTTACCGGAGGGTAACGCTAATTAGAAACGCATTTTTGGGGACGGTTTGGCGCCTTCCGGGATTAGCGGGGTCCTCCGGTGCTGGCCACATGGCGAGGTCTCCGGTGGTCGCCACTGTTGCTAAGGGCCGGTGCGCTCAGCCCGTGTGTGAAAACAGGGATTCGCGTTTGGACCTGAGTGGTTGGCCTGTGTGTAGCTCGTGACTGGTTTGGGGCTGGGCCCGTGACCTGACTGTGGCTGGTCCAAGTTCAAATGCAAGTTTTTTTCCTCCCCGGCAGCGACCGGGAAAAATGCAAAGTAATAAAATGTCTTTCGTTCTCTCTTTCCCTCTATCTCTCAGGTCTCCCTCATTCTCTCTTTCTCTCTCTCCCTCCCTCCCTGTGTCCCTTCCTGCCTCTCTCTCTCTCTCTCTCTCTCTCTCTCTCTCTCTCTCTCTCTCTCTCTCTCTCTCTCTCTCTCTCTCTCTCTCTCTCCCTCTCTCTCTCTCTCTCTCTCTCTCTCTCTCTCTCTCTCTCTCTCTCTCTCTCTCTCTCTCTCTCTCTCTCTCTCTCTCTCTCTCTCTCTCTCTCTCTCTGTGTCCCTTCCCGCCGCGGACCGACTCGATACACCTGCTGGCATTGCTCAAACACCCAGACGTTTCCCGAGCCACCACTGAGTCACTTTATGAACCTGGTCACTGACTGACTCATCATACCGCTATGCAATGTGCTAGTGCCGTCTGCTTACAACCGCGCTACACGACATGACTACAAAGTACAAACTGTATTGGTGGGGCGTAGGTTAGCGGGCAGCACGGCCTGCTCGATCAAACGCTGCATGGGATTTTTGAGAAGACGGCTCAAACTTCAGCGACGGGCAATTTAGCCATTTGACATTCTGGTATGCTCTGTGAAATTGTAGGATTTGTTATTAGCGGTAGGGACTTAGATGCATCGGTAAACGTTTTAATATCACAATTTCAACGTTTTTTTTTTAATTGTGACTTAGCTAATGTCTTAATTATTAGTCGGCTTAGCGTTCTATAGGGCCTATATTTCTTTTTCTATGGCTCGTGTATTTTTAAAATGTGGTAAGTGGTAACAAATGATTCGTGTTTTTCAACGCCCTCCTTCTAGGTTGGTAGGTATGCTGCCGATGTTCGGTAATTTATAGGTAAGCACACTTTCGATAGGTAACCATTCATCCATTCATCCAGTGACGGGTACCCGAAGTCACGTCGGCGTCGGGCGTGCGTCGGCTGCGCCACTCCCTCGCCGGACCGCCGCATCCTCATTCCCGGCCCCCGGGCTATCGGGAATGTGCCGACCTTGCCCAATGCCCAATATCCCATTCCCAATGTCTCAGTTCGTCGCCCTGGCAACAGATGTCAGGAGAAGGTTTCCCGCCCTTTCAAAGGGGACCGGATTCTCGACTGTGATGTGATGGTTTCTGTTATAATTTTTCGCATTTCTGATTAGTGTCGATTAGGTACATTATTTGGAGTGCAAAACATCCACTAATGGGCGAAAAGAAATCTCCACTTGTGTCGTTTAACTCAAAAATCTGGCGCTGTTGGTTGTCGGGCTACCACCGGTCCCGTACTCTGCGGCTCTATCCGACACGCCCACCAGCGCAGCCATCAGGTGCCGGCCGCGCGCGCGCCGCGCCGGCCGGGCGGCGGCCACCACCTGACCGGCGCTCCGCGCGGCGGAGGCGGCGGGCGGGCAGTTGGCGGTCGGCGGCTGAACCGAGAGGACGTCCCCTGCGCGCTCCGCTGCCGTACCTTAGTCGACGTGGTGAGTCAGCGGCGCGATCGTTCGATGCTGGGCGGCACGATGGCGAGCCGCAGCCAGCTCTCTGCGGAGGAGTGGCAGGACATGGAGCGCGCCGCCAAGGCGCTCGTCCAGCTCTCCATGTCGCAGTTCAAGGTGGCCGACTACCGACTGAACTCGATGAACCAGGAGTCGGCCTTCAAGATCGCGCGCATCCTCTCGGACTTGGCTCACGTGCGTCAGGAGCCGGTGCCGGCCACGGACGAGGAGCCGGCCGCAGGAGCCGAGAAGGAGAACCAGCAGGAGCCGGTGCCGGAGCCGCCGGCGCCGACCAAGCGGCCCGTCCGCAAGGCCAAGCAGAGCCGCGCCGCCAAGATCGTCAAACAGGAGAAGGTCTACAAGTGCAGCCACGGCGGCTGCGACAAAATCTACGGCAAGAGCTCACATCTGAAGGCGCACCAGAGAACGCACACAGGTCAGTCCAATTTCTGATTATATCCACCTTCCCTGGTCGATCTCACCTGTCCTGCACTTGCAAGTTATTATATAAGCATCATTTTCTTTCATCTTCGTTTTTAGCTTTTAACCGTGGTCAGCTATAATATGAATGATGTATTAAATGTCCGTGTCATGTGTAGTTTTAATCGATTATTCTCGGTCGACCCTGACCGTACGTAATTTAAAAGTAAACATCTGTCTCCCGCCCTGTGCCTCGTCGTCCCTCGTTTCGCCACTGAGTCATCTGTGTGCTGTCCGTCACATGATGGAGCCTGTTCTGTGTCTGCTGTGTCTCCGGCCGCGTGAGGCGGTTGCCACGCATCTGGGCGGCGGAAGTGAAGCTTCCGCGGCCACCGCCCTGTCGCCCCCACGTACCGCCCGCTGCCGTCGGCGGCGGGCGGACGTGACGGGGCGGCGGGCGGCGGGCGGGGGGGGGGCTTCCCCACGCGGCCGGCCCGGGTAGTTATCTGACGTAGGTGTTCCGCGGCCCCTGCGTGCGTCATAGGTGACAGACGCGGCGCGGGACCGCTGGCCGCACCTCCGTAGTTTTCCGCGATGCGGCGTAGTTTCGCGGTGTGGTGCAATGTGGATTATGTCCAAGTGGTCATGACAGCGGCCGGACCCGAAAATCTGCTGAGTCATTCGGGGGTGACGCTTGCGAATCGCGATGCATCTGGAAGATTCCTAATCGATGCTTCCCACACACACGCGAATTTCGTCACCTTGTGATACCCTGTATCGGAGGCTCGTCTCAATTTCCAACGAGCCTTGACGGGCGCTCGTGTCCTTGTCACGGTGATTTTCTCTGCGTGACAACGGCTGGTTATCAGAGCGGCCAGCGCCCTCGCTCCCCTCCCCTTCTCTCTCTCTCTCCGTCCCCTGCCTAACCCTCGGCGCCGACAGGTTGCCGCCGGCGCCGGATGGGCCTCCCTCCCTCCCTCCCCTCTCCCCATCGGCCGTCTGCGCCGGGCGCACATTCCGCGGCGCCCGGACGGGCCTTTAACTCGTCTGGCGCCCCTCCCCTCGGCGCCCCTCGCGGTTCGCGCGCCGGCTTTAACCCGCGCCCTGGTGGGGTCTGTTTATAACGCGACCTGGTGGGGGGGGGGGCTATTTTTTGCCCCCCCCTCGTATCTCCGAAACTACTGGACGGATCCGCAAAATTCAAACAGCGTTCGAAAGGCCTGTCAAATTTGTCGAGGAAAACCAAATTTCATTGACCTCGGGGTCACCGATGACGTCACAGGTCAGGTCAAAGATGAAATGTTTCACCGTTCACGGGTCTTCTAGGGAATGCGCTATAACACCGAGGAAAACGCATTTTGTCGAGAATCAGCGATAGGGCGTCAGTTGCCTAGTAGATATATTACTATTAGAGGTCACTGACAATACCAGGTCAGGTCACAGGTCAGGTCACCAAGGGTCACAGGTCAGGTCACATGAGCCCAACTTTACTAAGGTTGTGTGATGCATGTTTTATGGCCAATTTTTCATTTCCAACTCAATGGTATTGGTTATAAGACTATCAGGTACGGCTTAGGTCACTTTCTGGTGTAGTTCAGGTCAAGGTCAGGTCAAGGTCAGGCCAAAAAAGGTCAAATTTTAAAGTTGATAGTTTTGCATAAAATGGGTATTGATTCGATGCAGCTCGTCACGGGGAGTCTAATGGTGGTCTTTGTTTTGCGCTACGGGGTCTAGAATTGCTAAAAATTGAGTTTGAAAATTTGACGTCATCAATTTTAAACAGTTTTTTCGCTATAACTTCGCCAAAAAAAGAGGTATCGATCTCAAATTTGGTATGTGGATGGAAGGCGGTAAGGACTATCACATATATTCCGGTTTTTGCGAAATTCAAAAAACTTTTTGGATTTTTCGATTATTATATGCAAAAAATTTATTTTTTGATTTTTGGGGGTCAAAATCCAAAAATTTCAAAAATCCGAGATAGCAGTTTTGTAGCCCTGTTGATTCTACAGCTTTTATGTCTTTATCATTTTTCTGTATTTGCAAAGCTATAGGCCTGACAGCTCTTCCCGCGAAACCCTTTTTTGGGTCGAAAACGGCAGAACATGACGTCACTCTGACGTCATTTCCGGCCAAGCTATCATAGCCTTTGGAAAAATTTTTGGTCACAATGTGTAAAATTGATGTCCGGGAGGGTACTGAAAGTTTGGTGACGATCGGCGCAGCGGTTCTGGAGATATATCAAAAAGTCTGGAGGGGGGGCAAAAAATAGCCCCCCCCACCAGGGCGCGGGTTAAACGATGCCGCGCGGGTCGGCCGCCGCGCCGCGCGTCAGGGGAGGATGGGGACGGGACGGAGGGAAGGGGAGGGCCACCTGCGCCTCTGCGGGGGTCGTCCTGGCGGGGTGGCGCGCCGGGGCACGGTCCGGGAGGCGCCCGCGACGGTGATTTAAATCTGTTGTGGAGTTACCTCAGTCGCCGAAATGCGCTGGCAGCGGGGAAGGGGAAATATCCTTATGTCTTCGGCTGAATATCACCCCTTGACTTATCTTCCGGCTAGAGTTTTGTCATTTTCGATTGCGAGCTGGCAATTTCGTCACTGTTATCTTCTGTGACACCGTCTCTCTGCCTTCTCTCCGGTTCTGTCTACCGCGGCGTGTTGCGCAGCGACCGGTCCTTCGATAGCGGCCGAACGGACCCGGCCGCCTCCTCGGCCAAAACCAGGGGCGGCGGATTCGGGGGGGCAGGGGGGGCAGCTGCCCCCCCTGGCAAAATCGTGGGGGGGCAAAAGTATCTTTTTGCCCCCCCCCATAATTTGTGACAAAGCTTAGACAAGAAACCATATACCTGATTATTCTGTTCGATCATCTGAAGATGTAACCAGATGCCCATATACTTTCATACGTTGCCTTTCTTAAATGGCAAGCGTTCGCGTTCAATTGAAGTTTTCCTCTCTTCAACCTAGTTTTGGAGGCATTATAAGCGTCAACGTGACGCAGCCGCAGCCCAGGCCTTCAGTGACCGCTTACAGGGGCGACGGATACGGGGTGGCAGAGGAGGCACCGTCCCCTAAGAAGCTTTTGGAGGAGGGGCAAACGTATATTCTTGCCCCTCCATAATTTGTGCCCTAAACATGGGGAAAATTTCCATAACCTGATATTGCAGCTATGCGCTCCTAGTTTGTCCAACGGTGCCTTTTGAATATGTGTAAATGCTAACCATTTCCGCTTTATATCATTTTTTGTCTTTTTAGATTCGATTTAGAGATATTTTAAGTGTGCAAGAGACGCAACTCATACCTTCAGTGGTCGTTTGCCGCTATTTTGTACCTAGGACATAAATGCCAAATCGCAAGCGAGCGGAGACGGAAGGGCTAGCCATTCGCTTGCGGGTAGTTAGGACTGATGAGCGCTCATAATAAGCCACGGTCGTACGCATTGACCACATTGACATTTGACCAATGCATGGTATGGTATGGCACCCAAAGGCCAGTCATCATAGATCTGCTTTGGGCATTCGGAGGCTTGTGTGGGGCCAGTGTTAAAACTGGATGTCCACAGTTCAGTATCCGCTTTATTTCAGTTTTCACTATTAAAAAAGTAAAAATTAATGATGCAAACTTTTGAGGGTTAGGGCACTGATCATTAGTGCCCCTCCCCCCTCTGTCTAAAGGCTGGCTATAGAATAAAGAGCATCCAACACGAACAGTAGCGGCGGAACACCTTCAATTAGGGGGGGGGGGCACTGCCGACTTTTGGTCCCATTCTTTCCATGCAACGCCCATAGGGCTAACGTTAAAATGCCAAAATCAAAGGGGGCACGGTGCCCCGGTGCCCTCCCCGTTCCGCCGCCTATGAACACGAAAGCAAAATCTAAGGCATTTTGGAAAAATGAGTATGCCCCGCAGCGTCGGATAGCTACCACCTTCCAGTGGGTCAAGCCAACGGGGCCCAAGTCTATAATGGCACTTAACGATAGCACTAACCTTGTCTCACTTTTCGTTGATGTCTGTTCCGAATGGTTTCGGCCACAGACTGGCTGCACTAAGGTCGTTTGGTATGTGCAACTGTAATTAAAGCCACCTGAGGCGCCCTGACACCAGGCTGAAGCTGGGTTGGAAATGCTTCGTCTTTGCAGATATCACTGGCCACTGATTCTCGAGTGCCTGAACCGGTAGATGTCGTGGCAAAATTTGGTGTGATAATTTGGACCTTACCGCAGTCAGCACACCCTAAAGCCCCAATAAAGAAACGCCCCGCCCAGAGTTTCTGGATTCCCGTTCCAGTCCACCGTTCCTTCACCTCAGCCCGCCGCCGCGCTCCCTCACCCTCCGTTCCCAGCTTGACGAGCGTTTGGGCCTTAGTTAAGCCTTGCTGTAGGCTTACTGTATGTATAAACCCATCGAGACAGCCCGTCTCGGTGAGCTTATTTGGTGAACTACTGCCTTGGGGAGGGTTTCTGGCGGATCGCTGTCCCAATATGTTTAGATGCGACCGACTGTCTTTGAATGTTTGAGCGGTCTCCTCCCGCTGTGAGCTAGTTTCAGTTGATATCTGTCTCAGAAATACTTTTTAAAGGAAGGTTAAATGGAAATCGAACGTAAAATGAACAGAGGAAATGGTAACGAGTTACCTCATTGCAAAGAATAGCGCGCGCCTACTTCAAAAGGTTTGGCACCGTTCTTCAACATCTGATATGCGATCGGGTTATGGCACAATTTTTCCCATTGGAGCTTTTTTTCTAATACAGCAATACGAAAAGCGTTACATCGTCCACTGGCGGATCCAGGGAGCGGGCATTTAAAGCAAATATTTACTCCCCCTCCCCTGGCCCCTGCATCGCCCGAAATAGACAAATATGTTTCCTAATAATAACACTTTTATCAGGATTTTTTTTTTGCTTTATGCTGTTCAGCAGTAAGTCCGTAAGGAATCGAAATCCGAGGAGTTTTTGGATTTTGGACACTTTTTTGGGGGTATGTCCCTTACAGCGTCGAAAACGCCTTTCTGGATCCGCC